GATTTTGGGGGAGAGGGGGGCTCCCTGTGCACGCACTGGGGGCTCCCTGTCCCTCCCTCCCCGCTTTTGCGGAGACCATGGGGGGAAACCAACTACAGGCTGAGGGGGCGGGCTGGCACTGCCTGAGAATGGGGGGGGCGGTTGTTCTCTGTCCACGCTCAGGGGGTTCGGCGTTCCTCCCTATCCCCTTCCTTTCTTCCTCCCTTTCTACTACTTCTGGGGGCGCCGATTACAGGCTGGGGCGGGGGGAATGTGATGGTACCACCTGGGACGCAGGGGCGGGGTTATGAGTTATGGGCCCCCCCTCCTCCCTTGAATCCCCCCACCCACTTCAGTCCATGTGAGACCCTCCCCGCCTTCCCCGGGGGCTGCTATTTGAGAGTGAGAGGAAAGGGAGCGAATCAGGGAACTGAGCGGACTTACCGGGCCTGGCCCCCTGGGCGGCCCCGGCCCCTACTCCCCTGTGTCCCTGCAGCCCCGACGGCCTGGCCTGGGCGCGGCTCGCGAACCAGCAGCAGCAGCAAGAGGAGAAGCAGGAGGAGGGGGCGGTGGTGGAGGCAGCAGTAGGGGCTGGGAAGCAGCATCTTGTCTTGTTCCGTGTCCCTGTCCCTACCCTTGTCCCTGGCCCGTCCAGTCCCTGGCTCTGGCCCCTCTGTCTCCCGCGCCCTGGGCTCCCTCCTCCTACCCCGCCCTCCCCTCCCCGCCAGCTTCACCAGACCAACTTTCCCCCCGCTGCCCGGGCTCCAACTTTGGACCAATGGGGGTGCGGCGCCGGCTCGGGGAGCCCGGATTTGACCAATAAGAGCACAGTGCCGTCTGGGGGTGCCAGGAAAGGGCCAATGAGGATGTCACCGGGGCGGGGCGTCTGAGACAGGTGCCCTTGAGGACTTGGGGGAGTGAAGAGGGGGGTGCCCTGGACTGCCCACGGGTGGGTGGCAAATAATATCTCGCGTGGATCCCTTGGGGGCAGGGGTCCATGAACCCCGTCCCGCTCGGACTCCGACGTGCAGCAGGCCAGAGTAAGGAGGCCGGGGGGTTAGGAAATCCCGCAGTAGGTTCCAACCTCGGGCCCCTGGCCCCAGGCGCAGTGAAGAGGCTGGCTCTTCCAAGTCTGTTACCATGGCCAAGGGCGAATTTATTTCACATTCGGTAGTACCAAAGAGAATCCCCATCTTATCCTCCTCCAGACCCCCAGAGGGATCCTCGGGAACAGAGACTCCATCCTCCCCACCTCCGACCTCAGATTCTGAAGAGATGCAAAACCCTCAGGCGTTCGGCTTTAGAGGTCCCCAGGACCCCACACGGGAATCTTGCCCCACAGGGACTGCAGAGAGAGGGATAGCCCTACTGAGCTGGGAATCCGCTTCCACGCTGGTGTAGACTATGCTGGCGGGTTCTGCATCGGAGTGTTTGGGGCCAGGGCCTTCCTCCCTCCTCACTGAGTCTCCACGTGGGAGGCGCTGAGGTCAAGGCATCTAGAGCCCGTAGGACTCCATCCATTCTGCCCCCCAATAGAGGTGTTTCGACTGGCACCGAAAGACCCAGCTCCCTCCTTACCTGCTCCGCTTCCCTCCACCCGGCCCCGCCATGCGAGACTAAAGTCATTCCCTGCCCCGGGTCCCAAGGTTCCGCCCTCCGTAGGTGGGAAAGCCCCCTCCCCTTCTTTCCAGGACCCGCCTCCCGCCACCAGTGGCCCTTCCCTCAGAGTGTTTCCAAGCCCCATCCCTGCTCCCCGGCCCCGCCTCCAGCTCCATAGACTCTAAGGAAAACCTTAGAGGGTTTTCCCGGGCCCCGCCCCAAGTTGGTGACGTCAGCTCAGAGGGTGGTGTAGACGTAGACACAGACGAGGACCAGCAGGTTGAGTGCTGTGCCTACCAGGCCCAGCAGAGTCAGCAGCCTCTCTTCCCTCTCCGGTTCCGGGGATTCGTCCATCCGCAACCTCCCTTCCTCCTGAAGAAATCACAGGAGGAGCCGAGGAAGGGTTTGGAAGAGGGCGGGGCCAGGAAGGAAACCCCCAGATTATCCCCCATCAGCCGGATGCTTAGGACCATGCCCAGTGTCGCTCCCCTAGGCCCTCAGCCCCAGCCCCATTCCCCCAAGAGTAAAAGGACAGTCAGATACAGGAAGGTACAAAAGAAGGACAGAGATACCCAGAGACAGAGAAGGACAAAGAAAGACACTAGAAACAGAGACATGGAGCCTGTGAAATAGAGGACACAGAGAAACAGAAAGACCTCTGAGGTAGAGGACATGCAGAAAGAGAGAAAGAAACAGAGACAGTGACAGAGAAAGACCTCGGAGACGGAAGACTGGACACAGAGGGAGACTCAAAGACAGAAGCAGCTTCTCCCTGCTGCCACCCCAGCTCTTCTCACACATAAGTCTTCCTCTGCGGGCTGCTGAAAACCTGAGGGTATGGATGGTGGCTAAGGCCCGTTGAAGCTCTCCAAAATGTCCTGCCATTCAAGGCCCAACTCAGGTGCAACCTTCAGAAAGCCTCGAGGGATCTCTTTCTTTATCCTCCCTTCTCTTCATTACTGCTCTTTCCCCCTCCCTCCATTCTAAAGCAAGGTCTTCTTCACCTACTTTCCTATGGTAGCCCCTCTCCCCTGACCCCGACCAGGTCCTGGACTGGGAGAGTGAAGAGATCTGAGTTGGAGTTCCACTTCCAGGAACTTCCTGTGTGTGGTTGGACAAATTACTAACTCTCAGCTCCTTCAAGCTTCTGTAAAAGGGACCATCAAATCCTTGCCTTCCCTATTTTCCAGTGCTATAAATTATTGTTTTGGTTTGCGTCTGATTGAAAGCCTCTGCCAGCCTGGGAGCTATCTTAGAGCCAGGCCTGGGCTTCATCTCTCACGTCCCCATAGCTTTTCCTAGGGCCCTTTCTGCACCTGAGGAAATGTTTGTAAAATGAATGAGTGAATGTGTGTTCTCTGACATCCCCACAGCCTCAGTGTTGCCCACTGATACAGAGACAGATAGAGTACAAAGAAGGTAACAGAGGTACCTAGAGACAGCTATGCACATGAACAGAGACGCAGACAGGAACACAGGATTCCTCCAAAGTACACACACATACGAGTGCAAGGAGAGAAGCTGAGTTCTGCACACACACAATTACACACAGGTGCCCACAGACAGGTCCACATACAATTACTCAAGGTTCACAAAGAAATGTGGAAGTGCACATATAGGAAAAAATACTCAAATCTATAGAGAGACACAAAACTAGTTGAATACATGACATACACATGCACACAGAGATAGAGGCACACAGACACACACAATTACTCCCTGGTGCCCATGGAAAGAGAGAGTGAGAGAGAGTTGCACCAGAGAATACACAGGGATGCCCAGAGACAGAGACAGGCATGTGCCAAATTGAAGGTACATATAAACATGCAGAGAGCAAGCTACACACAGAAAGATACACAGACATGGACCCAATTACTCCAGGCACATGCAGACATACAGAAGTGCATACATACAAGGACACAGTACACAAAGACACAGGCATGCACACCCTACACAATTATACACACTGGGTACAAATAGACATACAGAGACACACGCACAGGGACACAGAGAATACTCGCAATTACACACAAGTGCACACAGACACACTTGGAGAATGGGACTTGCCCCAGGAGAAGAGGAAAGAGGAAGAGAAGAGAGGGAAAGGAAGGGGAGGAGAGGGAGGGGGCGGGTCACCTCACCAGGCGCAGCATCGGCCCCTGCTTCTCCTGGCAGCATTAGCTGGTGCCTCCTCTTCCTCCTTGGTCCCCAGATGCAGCCACCGCCAGGGCTCCCCGGAGCCTGTGGGAGGGAGGCCCCGTGAGTGCTCTCTGCGCCCAGGACTGGGGGATTGTGTGTGTGTGTGTGTGTGTGTGTGTGTGTGTGTGTGTGTGTGTGT